AACAAGAAAGAAGGGGCACACCGACACCCACACGCAGGAGGAGGGGGGAGAGAGTAAAGAGAGAGAGAGAGAGAGAGAGAGAGAGAGAGAGAGAGAGAGAGAGAGAGAGAGAGAGAGAGAGAGAGAGAGAGAGAGAGAGAGAGAGAGAGAGAGAGAGAGAGAGAGAGAGAGAGAGAGAGAGAGAGAGAGAGAGAGAGAGAGAGTCAAACTAAAGAGACGCTATCTGTTGTTTGAAGTGTTGTTAAATGTGTTTGATTGTGTTTGGGGCTGAATAAACCACAAAAAAAGAAGACTTCCGCCTGACTCCAATCTTGCTGCGCAGAATTTGAGACGTCCATGACGTTATCCTGCTGTCGCTTGGGCCACCAATATCGATGCAAGCTCGAGCTCTCAATTCAACACTATTGTGGAGGCTAACCAGATTGCTTCTGAGATTTGACCGATCAGTCATGTTTGTCGCAGTCTGGTTGCAATTGTCAATCAAACCCAAGTAAGCCAAATCGCACCATCAAACCCAAGCCACCCAAAAGCGCGTGTTCTCCACTGCTTTTGAAGCAATGCAGCTGCCGTATTGCGAAAGTCGGCAATGACCATGAAGCGGCTCGACGAGCGGAGCACAATCGACCGGCACCAAAGTACCCTCTCTCGCGCGCTCCTTTCCCTCGCCACTCTCCCGTCTGGCTGCTGTGTGATGTTGCAGCACGCCTACTCTAACCAAGCAGAACAAGCGAGGAACAGCTTGCCCTGCGACGACTGACCCACCGCTGGGAAACCACAACAATTAAAACCCACCGCACACCGTACGGCCTTCAGTACTGCAAAACCAGCCGATGCAGGAGGTGGGGAGGAGGCAAGGGGAAGGGGGACCGGTGTCAGATTGGCGAGTGACAGCTTGGAAGTGATTGTGAAGCGCGCGTTAGGGAAGAGGGGGAGAGACAGCAAGAACCAATCATCTCCAAGCCATCCCGACGCAACACAAGCATGACACATACACATAGACACACAACTGAGCTATCAGTATTGTGATGTTTGCGGGGAAGGTGTTTGTGGAGGTCCTGCGAGCTCACTTTGTCATGGTCTCTGATTTTTGCGCAAAACACCGCTACATCCTCAACAGATGAGATTGATAGAGTTTGCCTTTGGTCTGCTACTACTACTGCTGGGCTTTAGCGTGACAAGTCGCGTCCAGGTGGCACAAGCAGTCGATGCATGCAGCGTGTGCAGTTGCTCGGGAACGGTTGTCAATTGTTACGGCAAATCGCTGACAGCCATTCCGAGCGGAATCCCAACCGCCACCACCGACCTGTGAGTATTACCGTTGGAAGGGAACGTGCATCGATGCGTTGTCCTTCTCATTGGCAATACGGTCAATGCGGTCGACAGGACTCTCTGGAACAACCTGATCACCAGCATTCCCGCAGGCTCATTCGCTGGCCTGACTGCATTGACTTTCTTGTAAGCAAGCAACAGACAGGAAGAATCACACAAACGACTCACTCGTTGGCGACTCTATCTGTAGGCGAATCGATAGCAACCAGCTCACCAGTCTTTCGGCAAACACATTCACAGGCCTGAGCGCGCTGACACAATTGTACGCAATCGACGACAGGTAGAATCATCATTGGACAAACAAATTGGCTCACTTGTGAGTGCAGGGCTCTGAACAACAACGGGATTACGAGCATTCCAGCCTCTGCATTCTCAGGGCTGACTGCGCTGCATAACTTGTAAGCAAAGACAGTCAGTCGGAATCACAGACAAAACGGCTCACTTTTGTTTCTTCCTTTTTTTTTTTTTTTTTTTTTTTTTTTGGCAACTCCGATGGAAGATATCTGAATGACAACGTGATTACCAGTATTTCTGCAGATGCGTTCACAAACCTGACTGCACTGAATTACCTGTAAGCACCCAACGCTACGACGAATCAGACGCAAATGGCTCACTTGCAACTGTATCTGTAGTGTTATGCATAACAACCAAATCACCAGCCTTCCCGCCTCTGCATTCGCAAACCAAACCGCGCTGACACAATTGTAAGCAAGCAATGGCATCAAGAATTGCAGACAAAGCAGCTCACTCGTTTGTGCCAACAATCATCTCTAGGTTTCTGTTCAACAACTCGATCACCAGCATTTCCGCAGACGCGTTCACAGGTTTATCTGCGCTGGTGTACTTGTAAGCGAGCAATGACATGACGAACAACACACACGAGGCTGACTCGTTTGCCGCTCCATCTTTCAGGGCTCTGTACAGCAACCGGATCACCAGCATTTCCGCAACCGCATTCGCAAGCCTGACTACGTTGAACTACCTGTAAGCAAGCAAAGTCTTGATGCAACAAGCCACAAGCGGCTCACGCATTCGCGGTCACTTTGTAGGTATTTGCATGCCAATCAGATCACCAGCATTCCGGCCGGCGCATTCACAAGCCTGACTGCGCTGATTCTCTTGTAAGCACGAGCTCTCATTGCACATGCTTGATCAACCTCTCTCACTTTGCAATTTTGTTTTCTCAGGCCGTTGAATGACAATCCATTCACCACGCTACCGCCCGGTTTGTTCAAGGGCTTGCCAAATGGGTTGTATTTGTCGTTTAATTCGTCCCAAGTGTTCCGCCCGCTGAGCCCCAACAACTTTACTTTTGGTGGAAACACTATCGCTCCGCCCAGCATGTACGGCAATGCATCCGACCCAAACCGTAAGGGTGCAGGCATGACTGCAATTTCCCGTATCATCCTTTTCACTGACGTTGGTACTTTAGAGTGTGATACAGCCTGTGCCACCTGCTACGCCGCAGGGTCCGGGGCGTGTTGCGGGACCAATTGTCTGACCTGCATTTCATCCGCTCGCTGCACTCAGTGCTATGAAGGCTTCGGCTTGATCGGTGGATTATGTTTTTCGCTCGCTTCCCTCGCTTCAGCTTCCAGCGCCTCGGTTGCCTCAGTCGCGTCCACGCAATCAGCCTCGGCTGCCTCGATTGCCACAACCAGATCTGCATCCATCGCCTCCGTCGCTTCAGTCGCCTCCACGCAATCTGCTTCTGCTGCTTCGGCTGCCTCGGCTGCCTCAACCGGCTCTGCTTCGATTGCGTCTCTTGTTTCTGCTACTTCGGTCCTCTCGGCATCCTTTGCGTCCGCCGCGACAGCATCTTCAGCGTCCGTTGCAACTGCTGCAAGCGTCTCCTCGGCAACCGTCGCTTCTGATGTTTCTGCTACCTCGGCATCTGCAGCATCTGTTGCGTCTGCTGTGTCATCTGCATCGGCGCTCTCGGCTTCTGTTGCGTCAACCGCATCGGCTTCTGCAGCATCTATTGCATCCTCCATTGCACAACATGGAGGTGGCGGCTCGCAAAACTCGTCTTCATCTCCCGCAGCTGCCATCGCTGCTGCTGTCGCGGCTGTTGCGGTTGTTGCCATGCTTGCTTTGGGATACTTCGGGCGACGCCACCAATCGCAACGACGTGCCGGCATGCGACAGAAGGACTCTGCAGGTCCTATCTATCAGGAGGCCATTGCAATGACAATCTCACCTCTGAGCCAATCGACTCGAGCTCAAAAGGAAGAGGACATTGCAGCCTACGCGGTGGTCGGTCAAAAGCAGCTAGAACCGTTGTACCAGGCTATCGCGACGAGCTCTACAGAGGTGGTCTACGATTACGCAAGCGCGTACGTTGCCGGCAGCAATTCTCGACGCATTCGTGAGGGCTTGACGATTGTGAAGCACCTTGCCAGCGGGAACTTTGGCGACGTGGCACTGGGTCAGGTGCCTTTCAACGTGTTGCCGCCAAGAGCACAAAAATTGCTTGCGCCTGCAGCATCTGAACCCGTGCAAGTTGCCGTCAAGTCTCTGAAGTCTGATGCAGATGAGAAATCCCGCAAAGACTTTGAGAGCGAGGCGAAACTGATGGCGCCGTTCGTGCATCCGAATGTCGTGCGTCTACTTGCGGCTCTCGTAGAGTCAGAGCCCCATCTCGTCCTGCTCGAGTTTGTGCAGTACGGCGATTTGCGCACGCTGCTGCAAAAGTCCAAGCTCCACTCGCTTTGGTGGACGCACAACGAGCAGATCCATGCCATTCGCCAGATTGCACTCGGCATGGAGTATCTGGGCACGCTGCACTTTGTGCACCGTGATCTTGCCGCGCGCAATTGTCTCGTGGGGCAAGGAATGATTGTCAAGATTGCCGACTTTGGACTTTCTCGCGAAATGGCCTCCGAGAACGACTACTACCGCATGCAAACGCGTGGCAAGCTTCCCGTGAAGGTGAGTCAAGAGTTCGTGCAGGTGTTGTTGCTGGCAGCATTGATACTGATTTTGTTAAACTTGCGTTCTCCTTGCAGTGGATGGCTCCCGAGACTATGACCTTCCGAAAGTTTTCTTCAAAGTCCGATGTGTGGTCGTTTGGCGTAACAGCCTGTGAGTCGGCGGCTCTATCGCAACAGTGTCGGCTAAACCTTTTTCTCACTTGCGACAATGCTTGGTTGGTAGGGGAATGCTCCAGTCACGGCGCAAGGCCGTACGGTGAGATGGACGGACGCGATACTCTGGCTCATGTCGAAGCTGGAGGTCGACTGCCCATGCCGCAGACCTGCATGCCCGAGCTCTACAACGTGATGATGAGCTGCTGGGACATGTCGCCCGAGAACCGTCCGACCTTTGCTCAGCTTGTCCGCACCCTGACAGCGCTTCAAGATGGGACGACGATTCGCGAAATCGGTGCCATGCTGTGAATACGATCAACCTGAATTTCCGGCTTTCGATTGGATTTTGGGCAGCAGCAATTGCTGAAGGATTCATCCGCAATCCACCGCGATTTCCGTGCAGAAGTGAGTTGCTTTTGTGCCTGTCTGTTGAATACAAGTTCCGGCGTTTGTGTCCTTTTCTCTCTGAACACTGTTCAGCCGCCGTCGTCGCTTGGATTCCGCGTTGCTGTGCCGCGTCGGCTCTGCGACGTCCAAACAATTCTGCGTTTGAATTCTGCAGCTCACATGACTGTGACTGCACTTTGTTTGGAATTGTTGTTGCTGTGCCTGAGAGCGCTGCATGTTTTCGTCCCGTTGACTTGAACGGAAGGCGTGAAAGTGGGTTTTGCTTGTCCTGTTCCACACCTTGCTGTTTTTGCATAGATAGCCGTCCAACAGTCCAACCGAAGAGTCCATCGTGGGTCACTTTCTGGTCCTCTTTGCACGAGTTCCGCCGTACTGCTGTACTAGTATGAGAAGCCAGCACTCGAGACCGGACTCAAAATCGAAGAGGGTTACACTAAATATCGACTTGTGTTGCACAGAGCCCCAGCTCCAAAACAACAGCCACTTTGAGGCCCACCTTCGAGCCTGTCTCAGCCACCACGGTGACTTCGATGTGCTTGCGGTGGTGTTTGACGTGTAGAGTGCCTGTTGCTGCATCGAGTGCGAATCCGCGCGCCTTATCAGGCTCAAAATACATGATCATTTAGCCGATCATTGGAAATACCCTTATTTGCTATTATTGTGTTTGAACCGATGCGGTTTTAGTGGGTTTGTTTTGTTCGCCGATTGTGTGTTGAAATGGCTTTCCGATGGATTTCCAGTGATCTCTTCACTATCCCGCATCGTGAGACCCTCGGCTCGGGTCCTGTTATCCGCCCTCCATGAACGCCAGAGAGTGAAGCAGCTTCGTTCCCACAACGACGGTTCAGTTTTCATTCATTCATTCATTCGTTATTGTTTTGCTTTTGTTTTGGTTTGTTTTCTCATTTTTTTTCCCTTTCTTTTTGCTTTTGCTTTTTTTGCCGCTTTGCTTCCAAAAGTAAGCCATCATCGAAAGCCAATCAAAGCCAGAAATGCGAGTGTCTTCTTTCGCTTTTTTACCACTGCTTCTGACGAGCGGCGCGAACGTCCGCCATGAGTGGGGTCGACGAGCGAGGAGTGGCCGCCGAGCGCTTTGGAATCACATTGCATGGCTCTCTCTCTTTCGTCGCCCTGCACCCTCGCTCGCTGTCGCTGTCTCCCCCTGCCTCCAATGCTCTGAGAAGCTCTGTTATACCAAGTTGGTCATGTCTGCTGAACCAAGCCGATCAAGCCAAGCTGAAGAAGAGACAGCGAACATGAAATACATTCGCACACAACGCCTCCCCTTGATGTGTGGCCGCTTGCTCCTGGCTCTCCTGCAGGCGCGATGTGTCGACGAAAAAAAAAACCAAACAAGTGGAAGTGATCATGAAGGGTTACGCAGGGAGAGCGCGAACGGCCCGCACCCCGGGTTGCGGAGCGGGTTCTGATCTTGTGGGAAATGTTGTGGGAAAGAGCTGCAATGCTGAATGCTTTGAAGCCATCTTCACACCCACACTCACTCACTCACTCACTCGCAAAATATTCATATGCATTGATATTACTGGCGCTCAGCACTGTGACGCATTGCGGTGATTCTTGTGCTGCGCTCACTGTTTCCGGTCAATTTCTCCAACTCGCCATATTCCCGCTATTCAGATGACACCCAAAGGACTTGCCTTTGGTCTGCTGCTTTTGCTACTCGTCGTGAATTATCACGTTCAGGTGGCACAAGCAGCCGTTGCATGTGGCACTGGCGCCGTGTGCACTTGCTCGGGAACTACTGTCAACTGCAACGGCAAATATCTCACAACCATTCCAACCGGAATCCCTGTCACTACAACCATCCTGTAAGTGTTGTGATTGAGTTGACCTCAAATTGAAGATTCTGCCCCCTCATGATTGGTGTACGGCCGATAGGTATTTGCAGAACAATCAGATCACCAGCATTTCTGCAAACGCGTTCTCAAGTCTGACTTTGTTGACTTACTTGTAAGCAAGCCACGAACAAAGGCATGACACAAACGACTCATTCGTCTTGAGAGTTAATTTGTAGGTCTCTATCGAGCAACCCGATCACCAATATTGCCTCGTCTGCATTCTCAGGCCTGTCTGTGCTGAACACCTTGTAAGTAAACGATGTTCGCAAAGTCGTGAAGCGTCACGCACAACCAGCTGACTTTTTTTTTTGCAATCGTTGGTGTACTGTAGGGATTTGACCAACAATCAGATCACCACCGTTCCTGCTAACGCATTCTCAGGTCTTTCTAAGCTGAATACCTTGTAAGCAAACAAAGACACGACGAAGCACAAACAAATGGCTCACTTGTTTGCGACTCCATCTGTAGGTACCTGTACAACAACTGGTTGAGTGCCATCCCCTCTTCGGCATTCACAGGCCTGACTGCGCTGACACAATTGTAAGCAAGCAAAACATAAAGAATCACCGACCAGTCGCTCATTCTTTTGGACACTTTCGGTAGGCTACTGCATAACAACCAGATCACCACCGTTCCCTCTTCTGCATTCACCGGCCTGACTGCGCTGCAACTCTTGTAAGTAACCAAGGACACGAAGAATCGCACGCGAACGACTCACCTTTTGAAACACCATCTGAAGGTATCTGTACAACAACCAAATCGCCACCGTTGCTATAGACGCATTTTCAGGCCTTACCGCGCTGGTCCAATTGTATGCAAGCACAACGGAAGAATCGCTTCTCGAACGACTCACTTCTTGTAACACTATCTGAAAGGTATCTGTACAACAATCAGATCACTAGTATCTCGGCAAACGCATTTTCAGGTCTTTCTAAGCTGAATACCTTGTAAGCAAACAACCACACGACGAAACACAGACAAATGGCTCACTCATTTGCGACTCCATCTGTAGGCAGCTGAACAACAACTGGTTGAGCGCTATTCCCTCCTCTGCATTCACAGGCCTGACTGCGCTGACACAATTGTAAGCAAGCAAAACATAAAGAATCACCGACCAGTCGCTCATTCTTTTGGACACTTTCGGTAGGCTACTGTATAACAACCAGATCACCACCGTTCCCTCTTCTGCATTCACCGGCCTGACTGCGCTGCAATTCTTGTAAGTAACCAAGGACACGAAGAATCGCACGCGAACGACTCACCTTTTGTAACACTATCTGAAGGTATCTGTACAACAACCAAATCGCCACTGTTGCTATAAACGCATTTTCAGGCCTTACCGCGCTGGTCCAATTGTATGCAAGCACAACGGAAGCATCGCTCTCGAACGACTCACTTCTTGTAACACTTTCTGTAGGCGTCTGGACACCAACCAGATCACCACCGTTCCTGCTAACGCATTCTCAGGCCTTTCTAAGCTGAATACCTTGTAAGCAAACAAAGACACGACGAATCACGGACGAATCGCTCACTCATTTGCGACTCCATCTGTAGGCACCTGTACAACAACTGGTTGAGCGCTATTCCCTCCTCTGCATTCACAGGCCTGACTGCGCTGACACAATTGTAAGCAAGCAAAACATGAAGAATCACCGACCAGTCGCTCACTCTTTTGGGCGCTTTCTGTAGGCGTCTGGACACCAACCAGATCACCACCGTTCCTGCTAACGCATTCTCAGGCCTGACTGCGCTGATTTACTTGTAAGCAAGCAACGTAGTACACAGAGAATTTCACGCGAACGACTCACTTTTTGTCACACTATCTGAAGGTATCTGTACAACAACCAGATCACCACCGTTCCTGCTAACGCATTTTCAGGCCTTACCGCGCTGGTCCAATTGTATGCATGCACAACGGAAGAATCGCTCTCGAACGACTCACTTCTTGTAACACTCTCTGTAGGTATCTCTACAACAACCAGATCACCACCATTCCTTCCTCTGCACTCACAGGCCTGAGCGCGTTGACGCAATTGTAAGCAAGCAAAGACCCCATGAATTGCACACGCGTGGCCCACGTATTTCGTATTTGCGTCGCGATCATAGGTATCTGTACAACAACCAGATTACCAGCGTTCCTGCAAACGGATTTTCTGGCCTTACGGCGCTGACGGACCTGTAAGAAAGCTCAACAAGAAGAAATCGCACGTTAACGGCTTACAATTTTGTGTTTCTGTTGTAGACGTCTGTTCAACAATACGATCACCAGCATTCTTGCAAACGCATTCACCGGCCTTACCAAGCTGACTTACCTGTAAGCAAGAAAGGACATGAAGAATCACAGAGCAGCGGCTCACTCGGTTGTGACTCGATATGTAGGGATCTATCCCTCAACCAGCTCACCAGCATTCCAGCAGGCGCATTCTCAGGCCTGACTGCACTGACGCAATTGTAAGCAAGCCAAGCATAAGCTTGACGGATCACAGGCAAATGGTTCACTCGTTCGCGAGTCCTTTTGTAGGCTACTGTACAACAACTGGTTGAGCGCCGTTCCTTCTTCGGCGTTCACAGGCCTTACTGCGTTGCTTTATCTGTAAGCAACCAATGACACGAAGAATCCCGCGCAAAAGACTCATTTGTGACACTCTATGCAGGTATCTGTACAACAACCAGATCACCACCGTTGCTGCAAATGCATTCACAGGCCTCACCGCGCTGGTCCAATTGTAAGTATTCAAGAATAGGAAGAGGCGGACACAGCTGATTTTTTTAATGAGACTGTGTGCAGGCAGCTGTATGGCAACCAGATCACCACTATTTCTGCAAGCGCGTTTGCAGGCATGAGTTCGCTGGTACAATTGTAAGCATCGAAGCACTAAAAGGATCAAAAGCAACCTGGCTCACTCGTTTGCGAACCACAGGTATCTATACAGCAACCGGATCACCGCCATTTTCGTAAACGCATTCACAGGCCTTACTCATCTGAGTCTCTTGTAAGCAAGCAAAAACTGGAAAAGGCGCCAACAAGCAGCTCACGACGCCATCTGCAGGGAACTTTCCAACAACCAGATCACCAGCCTTCCTGCAAATGCATTTTCAGGCCTGACTGCGATGACACAATTGTAAGCAAGCAAAGCATGACGACCCTCAGAAAGCAGGAAACTACTCACTGGGTGCGGCGACTCTTTCTGTAGAAGTCTCTACAACAACTCGCTCAGCGCCGTTCCCTCGTCTGCATTCACAGGGCTTACAGCGCTACAGGCCTTGTAAGCCAGCAAAGTAGTACACGAAGAATTGTTACGCATTGTCTCACATACATGTATTTTGGGACTTTCTGCAGGTTGCTGTACAACAACCAGATCACCTCCGTTGCTGCCAATGCATTCACAGGCCTCACCGCGCTGGTCCTATTGTAAGATCATAAGGATACAAAGAAGTAGCAGAAGAAGCAGACACAGCTGATTTTTATGAGACTGTGTGCAGGCATCTGTATCGCAACCAGATTACCACCATACCTGCAAGCGCATTTGCAGGCTTGAGCGCGCTGGTACAATTGTAAGCAGCAAAGAACTAAAGGATCACAGGCAACGTTGCTCACTCGTTTGCAAACCACAGGTATCTAAACAGCAACCGGATCACCACCATTTTCGCAAACGCATTTCCGAGCCTTACAAAGCTGACGTACTTGTGAGCAAGCGAGCGACTGGAAAGAGTCGCGAATAAACAACTCACTTGTTCGCGACTCCATCTGCAGGGATATTTCCAACAATCAGATCACCAGTCTTCCTGCAAATGCATTCACAGGCCTGACTGCGATGACACAATTGTAAGCAAGAAAAGCATGACGAACGACAGAGAACAGAGAACGGCTCACTTGGTGCGGCGGCTCGTTCTGCAGACATCTCTACAACAACTTGTTCAGCACCGTTCCCTCGTCTGCATTCACAGGGCTTACAGCGCTACAAATCTTGTAAGCCAACAAAGTAGTGCACGAAGAATTGTGACGCATTGTCTCACATATTTTGGGACACTTTCTGCAGGTCTCTGTTCAACAACCAGATCAGCTCCGTTGCTGCCAATGCATTCACAAGTCTCACCGCGCTGGTCCAATTGTAAGTTCACAAGGATACAAAGAAGTACACGCGCATGGCTGACTTTTTTATTGCAGGCAACTGTACGGCAACCAGATCACCACCATACCTGCAAGCGCATTTTCGGGCCTTTCTAAACTGAGTCTCTTGTAAGCTAGCAACAGCACAACGAATCACAAACGAGTCGCTCTCATTTGCGACTCACTCTTTTGCGACTCTATTTGTAGGCAGCTGAACAACAACTGGTTGAGCGCCATCCCCACTTCGGCATTCACAGGCCTGACTGCGCTGACACAATTGTAAGCAAGCAAAGACACGAAGAATCACCGACCAGTCGCTCATTCTTTTGGACACTTTCGGTAGGCAACTGTATAGCAACCAGATCACCACCGTTCCCTCTTCTGCATTCACCTGACTGCGCTGATTTACTTGTAAGCAAGCAACGTAGTACACGAATAATCACACGCGAACGACTCACTTTTTGTGAGTCTTCAGGTCTCTGTACGGCAACCAGATTACCACCATTTCTGCAAGCGCATTTGCAGGGTTGACTGCGCTGCAAGCCTTGTAAGCAAGCAAAGGTATGAAGAATCACACCTGCATGGCTCACTTGCTTTTGTGATACTCTATGGACTGTAGGTATCTGAACGACAACACGATTACAACCATTGCCGCAAATGCATTTGCTGGCCTTACCGCGTTAAATTGGCTGTAAGCAACTTCAAAGACTTCAGGAATCACGACCATCGGCTCATTCGTTTGAGACTGCAGGGATTTGTCCGACAGCCAGATCACCAGCATTCCCGCAAATGTATTCTCAAGCCTTCCTGCACTAGCGCAATTGTAACTAAGGCAATTACAATGATGATAATCACAGACAAATGGCTCACTTGTTGGCGAGCCTTTTTTGTAGGAATCTGTACAACAACTGGTTGAGCGCCGTTCCCACTTCTGCCTTCACAGGCCTGACTGCGCTGACACAATTGTGAGCAAATACAGACATGAGGAACCACAGACGCGGCTCACGTTATTCTGACACTGTCTGCAGGACTATGTACGGCAATCGAATCACCACCATATCCGCCAACGCATTCACAGGCCTTAACGCGCTGGCACAATTGTAAGCAAGCAAAGCCATGAAAAATCGACCAATTGGCTCAACTTCCTATTTTGCGGCACGATTTGTAGATTTTTGCAGAGCAATCAGATCACAACCATTTCAGCATCCGCATTCACGGGCCTGACTGCACTGAAGCAATTGTAAGCAAGCCAAGATTTGAAGAATCGCAGACAGACGGCTCATTCTGCAACTCTCGCCATAGGTATCTGTACGGCAACCAGATCACCACCATATCTGCAAACGCATTTGCAGGTCTCACTTTGCTGACTACTTTGTAAGAAGAAACTCCTGCTGCTCGTGCCTGATTCGCCTCTCACTTTGCCGTCTTTTCAGGACGTTGAATGACAATCCTGCCACCACTTTGCCGCCTGGTCTGTTCAAGGGCTTGCAGAATGGCATGGTTTTGTCGCTGCCTTCTTCGCAATCTCTGAGCCCCAACAATTTTACATTTGGTGGAAACACTGTCGCTCCGCCGAGCACATACGGGAATGCGTCCTATCCTTACCGTAAGTTTCAGAGCCGACTGCCAAGTCCTGTGTGATCACTTTATTCATAGACAGTGAAATTGCAGCGTGTGATACAGCTTGTGCCACCTGCTATGCCGCTGGGTCTGGCGCGTGTTGCGCGACCAATTGCCTGACCTGCACTTCGTCCGCTGTCTGCACTCAGTGCTATGACGGTTATGGTATGATGAGCGGATCCTGTGTCCCATTGGCTGTCATCGCCTCGGCCGCTTCCGCCGCGTCTACGCAATTCGCCTCGGTTGCCTCGGTTGCATCGATCGCCTCTGCCTCAGTCACTTCTGCTGCGTCAGCTGCTATCAAAGCATCGATCGCCTCCGTCGATTCGGTCTCATCCGCGCAATTGGCCTCGGCTGCCTCCATTGTCTCAGCTAGCTTTGCATCGATTGCGTCAATCGCCTCAGTCGCATCAGCGCTCGATGCTACTGCTATGACGGTTATGGTATGATGAGCGGATCCTGCGTCCCACTGGCTGTCATCGCCTCGGCCGCTTCCGCCGCGTCTACGTCCTTTGCTACCCTCGCGACCGCGTCTTCTGCTTCTATTGCATCCACTGCAAGCGCATCATTGGCATCGGTTGTTTCCGCAGCCTCGGCTACCTCGGCATCCTTTGCTTCTATCGTGACAGCATCTTCAGCGTCAATTGCATCTGTTGCGAGCGCGTCCTCCGCATCTATTGCTTCCGATGTTTCCGCTACCTCGGCGCTCTCGGCTTCTGTTGCGTCAACCGCATCGGCTTCTGCTGCATCTGTCGCATCCTCCATTGCGCAGCTCCGCGGCAGCTCCCAATCCTCATCTCCAGTGGCTGCCATCGCTGCTGCAGTTGCGTCTGTTGCCGTTGTTGCGATACTTGTCGCCGTTTTCTTTGTGCTGCGCCGTCGTCGATCGCAACGCCGTTCTTCAGGCATGCGACCAATGGACTCTGCAAAGGACTCCGCCGGTGGTCCGATCTACCAGGAGGCGGTTGAGATGACCATCTCCCCTCTTCCCCGTGTGACTCAATCTCACAAAGAGGACGACAGCTCGGTTTACGACGTGGTCGGCCAAAAGCAGCCAGAATCCCTGTACCAAGCCATCGCGACTGATGCGGTCTACGACGATGCTAGCGTCTACGCCTCCGGCAGCAACTCTCGACGCATTCGTGATGGCTTGACGATTGTAAAGCACCTTGCCAGCGGGAACTTTGGCGACGTGGCACTGGGTCAGGTGCCTTTCAACGTGTTGCCCCCAAGAGCGCAAACCTTGCTCGGACCGACGTCGTCCAAAACTGTGCAAGTGGCAGTCAAGTCGCTCAAGTCCAACGCAGACGAGAAATCCCGCAAGGACTTTGAAGGCGAGGCGAAGTTGATGGCCCCGTTCGTGCATCTGAATGTCGTGCGGTTGCTTGCGGCTCTGGTCGAGTCCGAGCCCCACCTCGTTCTACTCGAATTTGTGCAGTACGGCGACTTGCGTACACTGCTGCAAAAGTCCCAGGTTCACTCGCTTTGGTGGACACAGAACGAGCAGATCCATGCCATTCGCCAGATTGCACTCGGCATGGAGTATCTGGGCACGCTCCACTTTGTGCACCGTGATCTCGCCGCGCGCAACTGCCTTGTTGGCAAAGGGATGGTGGTCAAGATTGCCGATTTCGGGCTTTCTCGCGAGATGGCCTCCGAGAACGATTACTATCGCATCCAGACGCGTGGCAAGCTTCCCGTGAAGGTGAGTTGAGGGTGTGAATGGGGTTGTTGTTTGCAGTTTTCTTGATACTGATTTTGTTGAACTTTGCATTTGTAGTGGATGGCACCGGAAACGCTGACTTTCCGAAAGTTCTCGTCCATGTCCGATGTGTGGTCGTTTGGCGTCACAGCCTGTGAGTAGAGGAGTGTTTTGCTGAAATGTGCACACTTGCGTTGAGTTGAGATTTGACTTTTGATTTGGTGCATGTTGGTAGGGGAATGCTCCAGTTACGGTGCAAAACCGTACGGCGACATGGACGGACGCGAGACTCTGGCTCATGTCGAAGCTGGTGGTCGACTGCCGATGCCACAGACCTGCATGCCCGAGCTCTACAATGTGATGATGAGCTGCTGGGACCTTTCGCCCGAGAACCGTCCGACCTTTGCTCAGCTTGTCCGAACTTTGGCAGCGCTCCAAGATGGGACGACCGTTCGTGAAATCGGTGCCATGCTGTGAAGCATCCACCGCGACTTTCGTGTCAAATTGAGTTGCGTTGTGCCTGTTTGTTGAATACAACACTTTGTCTTTCGCTTTCTCTCAGCGTCGACTGTGTCGTTTGAGTGCGCTGAGTGCTGTTCCGCCAGTGCAGATGCGAATCAATGAATCGGTTCCTGTTTCGCACCTTCAAGGTGGTATTTTTGGGTCACTTGGTTTCGCTGACCAGTCTCGTCACTTTCCTGAGCACGGCGCATCACTTCGACCACTTTAGCACATGTACTGTACTGCCGCCTACAATGTAATCACTGAACGCGTTGAACATCGAAATCGATTTCTGCAAATCCAAAAACAAACGGCAATTTGAGGCCAAATTCGAACTTGTTTTGGCCATCACGACGAATTCAATGTGCTTGCGGTGCTTGAGTTGCACCCGCAGTAACTATTACTGCACAGAGCGAGCGCGATGCGAATACGTAATGCCTCATCATTCAGCCGATAATCATGATTAGGAAACAGCCTTATTTGGGGTTTTTTCTTCTTTTCGCCGGATGCGCGTTTGGTGCAATCCTGAAATGGCTGACCGCCGGATTCCCAGTGATGTGTTGTCTTCTCGGAGCTTGAAGTGCAAAGTCGAGACCTCAGCTCGGGACCTGTGACTCGTCCCTCTGTATCAACGCCAGAGTGAAACAACATTCATTGCCAACCACGTTGTTGGTTCACTCTCATTTTGTTCTTTCTTCCCTTTTTGCTCTTTTGTCGTTTTTGATTCGCAAAAGTAAGCCAAAACGCGCATCATCATCATCATCATCATCATCATCATCATCATCATCATTGAATCCAAGCAAAGCCAAATGCGAGTGTCCTCGTTCGCTTGTATCTCTGCGTTTGAAGAGCGAGCGGGGTTGACGGGCGGGGGTAACGCAGAAACCCACAGCCAGCACGCTGGACGGGCACTCACTCATTACGGCTGCATCTCGCTCGCTCTCTCTCCGTCGCTCCGATGTCTTCCCCCCCCCCTCTCCCAGCACCAACACACACTATACATGTTATCCTATGACAAGCTCGGCTGCACCAGTCGAATTGAGTTTCAAGGCAGGAGAAGTGACGGAGCGAGCAGGATGACCACAGCGCTACCGTTGATTGATTGATGCGCTCGCACTTGCTCGTCGCTTGGTTGCAGGTGTTCCTGGCTCTCTCGCAGGGGGGGGGGATGCTCGTCAATATGCGACAGTGACAATGATGAAGAAGCGCACGCAGAGTTGGTGGTGGTGGTGGGTGGGGGGGGGGGGGC